GAATGAGCTTTAGGGTAGGGGAGCAGGGATCTGAGGGGCCTCCCCCAGCTTGTTTGAAGGGGTCTAAACCAAAAGCAACTCAGTGGAGAGAAGGTTGAGGACCCGGTTGTCTTAACAAACCCCAAAGAAACAGCCACCCCGGTCTCCGCCTCGGAGGTTCCAGCTACAGTGGCAGCTGCACAGCTTCTGCCCCAGCCAAAAGCACTGGAATCTGCTCTGGCCTCATGGAGTGGGGGCGCCGGCCAGGCCTGGACTCTGTAGGGGAGGTGGTCAGCTTTGATTGTCCAGATACAAAACACAGACTGGTATTGAATTCAGCCTGATCCCGACGTGGGCCCTGCTCCCGGCTCCAGCGAGGGCAACTCCCTGAAAGGTTCTGGCCACAAATCCATTAAAAATGGTCCTCCAAAGAAAAACACTCTGCTAAAGTCTAAAATAAAAATAGAGAGCAGAGAGAGAGAGGAGAGAGAAATGCTGGCTGTGGGAAGAGAGCAATCTCTAAAACGGAGAAATAATTTTTAAGGACAAGAAAAAGAACAGCAAAATGACACGAAGGCACGCCTGCAGGTTCTGTTAAAATGACCACACTCTTTTTGGATCCTGGGAATGTCCACGTTCAAATAAACAAGCGCCTGATCGCGAGCCGAGCACTTTCTTGCTGCCGATAAAGTGAACGTTTACACTGTGAGAAAGGCGAGATTGATTTACGAATCTGAACGCGCCAGTTTTATGGCTGATCACAAATCCGTCAGCGCTCAACTCACGCTGGGAAACTTCCCAACTCCGTTTTCCAACCAGACCCCTTCCCCAGCCGCCACTTCCCAGGGAGACCCACCGCCAGTGCTGGGGCCGCCTCCGAGGGCTCTGGCAGGACTGGGCAACCCCCTCTGCCCAGGACAAGCGGGTGGAAGTAGGAGAGAGAATGGGGAGGGCCAAGGGAACTGGGGAGAAAGAGGGAAAGAAATCAGAAGGTTGGGAGAACTGGAGTGGCACTAGGATTGTCTGGAGTGAAGGAAATGGGAGATCTGGCAGTTCTCCTTCGTGAACCCCAGCTTTCTCTGACTATGGTCTCTCTCATTTTCCCTTTGATGGGCCCTAATCCTCACACTGCAGAAAGCAGTTTGTAAAGTCCCTGGCGACTAGGTCTTTGTCACTTGAGCCTATAGAGGGCCCACAACTGGCTATCTGCCCTTATAGGTAATGAATGCACATCTTCCTGAGCTCCAAATATTTTTAGTCCAGGAGCAGCCTAGCTTGCTTTGTGCTCATCCTCTTTCCTTCCTGAGGCCTCCAGCCCCTCTACTTATGCCACCCAGGGATAAAGGAGAGACTATCAACCACTCCAGCTATTTATTGCCTGAAATAGAGTCCCCAAATTTCAAGAAACCATTTACAAAATGCAAACCAACAACCCACATATCCCAGCAAGGTTCTGTCTCTCCTAGTCTTAACTGAAGGGGAACATTTCGTCCTCCCAGCCAGCGTCTGTCCGTGTCTGTCTCTCTTTCTCTTTCTTTTTGTCTCTGTCTCTCCCCAAGAGGGTGGCTGCTGGTATGGATTTTTAAGATACAGCAAACAGAAAACAGTTTTTGGAAAGGCTCTATGTTCAGGGCTCACTGTTTGACAAATCCTCCACCTATTTCTTAAAAGTTTCTGGAAACTTTGGCTAAGCTGGGACAGCAGGCCCTGGAAAGTACTCAGAATAGTCTGCACTGATCCTCCTCCCATTTGCCTTGCTCCTCTGGTGGGTGAGGCACTCCAAGGGCTTTTTTTGGTTATTGGGGAGATTAAGAATTAGGGGAAAGAGGTAAAGGTGATTGTAGAAATAGCTTCCTAAACAAAGGAACTTCAGAAAATGGGTTGATAGGCTGTGGATTTGGATGTCAGCCCTCAGAGAGATGACAGCCTGTGAAGCAATGTTCATGGCAGAAGCCCTTTCTCTTCGCAGCTCAGGAGTTTATTCCTCTGGCCCTCTGAAGCCTTGTGGATTAGGCCCCTCCAACCTCGCATATCTTCTCCCTTTGTCTTTCTTCCCTCAGTTCAGTTCCCTCCAAGTGAAACAGTAAAGAGATGAACTGGACCTGGGAGTGGTGCCGGGAGGATGGCTGGAGTCTGGACTGCTGAAGGTGCTGTGTACAGAGAGACAGATAAGCACCCTACTTTCCTACCCCGACTGGACCCTTGGGCTAAAAATCTTTATGTCTTTTCCCCCAGTGGACAGTAATAGAAAAATAATCCAAAAGTTTCAAAATAGCAAAGATGGGTTTGGGGCCTAGAGGGGTTGGAGAAGATGGGACATATGATGGGCCAAGGACCTCTCCCTGCAGAGGTGTGACTCTCCCTCCTGGGCAGGAGGCAAAAGCCAACACAATGTCCAGTCTCAGCGAGGTCAAGGGGCTTCCGAGGTCATTTTGTGGTTCTAATACTGAGCTAATCGCCTAGAAAACGTGGCCTCTCCATGAACTCTCTCTCCTGCCAGCCTCCCGCCTCCAAACCCTAAGTGAGGCCTCAGGGAAAAAGGGCCAACACATTCAGGTCGGCTGCAGAGCCCACTGACTCCCTCAGCCTAAGAAACAGGGCTGCAGAGGAGAGAACAGAGACCTCAAATTAGGAGAGCAAAGGGAAACCAAACCAACATTGCTCCTTCAGGAAGAAGGCTGGGGGGACAGAGCAGAAGAGAAATATTTCTGCATCAGTGCACCTCGCCTGTGAACTGAGCAGTTTCCTGCTCCAGAGAGTAGCACGTATTTGTCTAGAATCCCAAGCTAGACACAAGAAGAAAAACAAGAACATATATCCATTTATACCCGCTCCAAAGCTGGAACATTCCATTCAAGCACTGGATTTGATTTTTCCAGGAGGCAGCAGTGACAGCATCGCACCGGTAAACAGGCATAGGGGACACCAGTCCCCAGTGTAGACAAGCAGAGTCACAGGAACACACCGACCACATGTGGACCTCACTAGACACACCCATGCACACATGCTGGAGCTCGCTGTGCCTGCCTGCATTTTCCAAAACCAGAAAAGCGCTTCTGAACTGCCTCACAGAACAACCGTCTTCTCTGGGGTTTTTCATGGGTCCTGACACCTCAGTCCCAACCAATTCAAACACTCTCCAGGTGTTGAGGCCCCTCTCTCTCTCCCTCTGACCCAAGCATCAGTCATCATAAAAGGGAGCAAACCTGCCCAAGCATCCACCGTAAAAACCCAGCCAAGAGAGTTAAAAAACAAAAAGGAGGAGGCGAGAGAGTGTTTCTTCTTTCACTTGTGAAAAGAGCTCATAAAACGATCAAAACACGCCAGCCTGGGCCAGGGCTTTGTTACCTTTGCGCCTCTCGCCTCCTCTCGCCCGAACTCCGCCGATCCCATTCATGACGAAGGGCTTCTTCCAAACTGAGAGAAAAAAGTTTTCAACTTTATGGTTCCAAATTTTTTCTCCCTTGCAGATCCGGGAGAGACGGCTAACACTTTTTTCCCCCAACAGCCGGTCTGAGGAGATTTGCTGTTGAATAATAACAAAGGAGAGAGGATACGTATTTAAAGAAAAGAAGTGATTAATGGTTTTCTGTATAATTCTCACATTTTTCTTAGCTCTTGTCTACACAGAATGGCTGTGAACTTTAAGCTCCATAGAAATCTTTTTTTTAAAATTCTATTCATACCTTCCAAAGAACAGCTTTGATTTGGTTCTTTAGAGACATTCCTTGGGGGGCATATGCTTTTTTAAGAACTATTTTCCCCCTCAACTCGGGGCTTCGGCATCCCCTTGCAGCTAAAACACCACACCGCAATCCGACCGAAATAAAGCTCGCCCCTCTCATCCTCCAGGTCCACGACGATTTTTTATGAGTCTCCCAGCAGCATTTAAACGGACAGTTCAGCAGCCCTTTCTCGGCTGGGGACACCGGCCTGCCGGTTCCCCCTGCCCTACCCAGCCTCCAACTACCAGAGCTGCAAGCTGGAGGAATGCAAAATAAATAACAATAAAATGCGCGGGTGGGGGGGATGGTTCTTTTTATTTTCTGAAAGGAAATGGGACTGAAAAAACGACTTTTAATTGCATATGCTCTCCCGAGCCCCGAGCTTTTTGGAGGTGGGGTGGTTGCACCCTGGACGACCAATGGACCAGAGACCCTGAGGCTGGAGCTCCCAGACCTCAGAACTTCTAAGCAGTGCTGCACAAAAGCAATTCCAGCCTGACAGAACTTCTGAGGGTCACCTGCACCCCTTTCCCCTACCCCCACTCCATTCTAGGGGTGACTGGGACCTCAGAGACAGAAAGCTATTTGGTCCCCAGTCATACTTTCGATACTTTCTATGAGAAAGAAAATGAAAATTAATACTGGAGCAAGGCTTCACAAAAGAGGCCATTTGTCTTCTTGATTATCTATTTGCTTGTCAGAGTTTGAGCTATGGCACTGGCTAGCTCCTTTGTAATATAAAAATACTCTGAAAACCTGCAAACACCCAGAAACATCTGTGCAAAAAATTAGACTCATTAAAGCCTTAAACACCTCAGAGGAAAGCGATACCTTCTTATGCTGCGAGGAAAGAGGCCAGCCTCGTGGAATCCTCTCTCGGAACTTTAATAACCAAAGAGCCGTCTGTCTAGAAGGAGACAGCTTAACCGCATTTTATTTGCTTATGACAAATAAATCACGATATGAAAGGCTTTGCCATACTTAAGCCTCTTGTGTCCTACAATGAAACATTTTCCCCCATTAGGGACTGGAATCAGCCCTCCCAGTCCTTTCAATCCATTTTTGGACCGAAGGGAAAAAATTAAAAGCCCCAAAACAAAACACATCCACCCTAAAAGGAAAACAAACCAACCACCACAATTTGGAGTCCTCTGAGATAAAAATTCCCATCAGACTCTTTGACAAAAAATCTTCAACCACACACAATGTGAGGCTGAACCCACTAGGGTGCTTAAAATATACACTGGGTGGCATTTGTCCATATCTTTACGCCAATGTTTCAACAAAAACACGCTATGCTGGTCACAAGAAACCAAACATTTATTTCTATTGTCACTCTGTACAGCACACAGATATTCACAAGTAGGAAGGGTTCTAAACTCAAGCAGCCCCAGAGGTAGGAAAGGGCCTGGTTTTGGAATGTCAGAAAGAGAAAAGGAGAGAGGACGCACATGACACAAAAAAATAGTAATAATAATATTATCAATACTAATAATAAACGATGCAACATGATAAACTATGGGAGAGGCCTCTGCCACATCCTCCTCCCAGACTGGGAGGGGCACATTTTATTTCCTAGTTTCACATTCATTTTCAGTCTAGGAGAGAGGCCTCTGCTGTACAACTCTGGACTGGCAGAGTAGTGCCCAGCTCCCAGAACTCAACTGGCCCCTCACCCTGCCAGGCATGGCTTGGCTTGGCCTTCCAGAGGAAGGCCCTCCCGGGTCTCTGAGTCTCTCTTTTTCCTTGGACTCAATTTCCCTCCTCACTCCTGAGTTGTCAAGGCCACCCGCTCCCCTACTTGCTCCCCTCCTCTGTTCCCCACCCCCCAACCCCACGGTGGAAGTGGGTGAGCAGTCATTCTGGCCCTCCGTGAACGGGCACGGAGGATGAGGGAGAGTGTGTGTGCGTTTGTTACCGTGGCCAAAACACTGCACTATCTGGCAGTCAGAGGGTGCTTTCGCTGGGTATCGGGAGTGGGGGACAAAGAAAGGAAATCCAGGCTGTCTTCCAGCAACGGCAGCAGCAGAGGCGGAGGCGGCCGAGCCGGGCCTCATTTGTTAGCGGGTGTCGAGGTAATGGTCGCCACCGAGGCCCGTCCTCTCCTCGGCAGAGTAAACAAGACAGATGGGCCTGGGCCTGGCGTGATTAAAGATGAAACGTGGATCCATCTTCGCCAAAGCTGAAAACGAGGAGCTGCAGCCTCCTCCTATTTCTCTTTCTGTTTTTTTCTTCTTCCTTCTTCTTTTTCTTTTTTCTTTTTTTTTTTTCTTTTTAAGGAAGAAAGCAAGAGATTTGAATCTTGCTTCTGGGGGGGCCTCCCCGTGGCCCTCTATTGTCATTTCTATAAATAAAGCTTCCCCTCCCCCTCTTCTGCGTTTATTCGCATATAAAGTGTGGGGGAGGGCAGATAGATTTTTCCGGGGCCCAGGCCCCAGGGCCCCCTCCTGTCCCCCCACCCCATCCCCTGCACTCACTGCCCACCCCCACCCCGAAGTTCGTGGCTCCCGCGTGCGGGGGCACTAGAGCGCGGGGGGTCCTCCATTGGGCCGGCCAGGGGTCCCTCCGGCTGAGCCTGCCGCACCACCCGAGCGGATCTTGGTGTTGGGCAACTTGTGGTCTTTTTTCCACTTCATGCGCCGGTTCTGGAACCAGATCTTGATCTGGCGCTCGGAGAGGCAGAGCGCGTGGGCGATCTCCACCCTCCGGCGCCGTGTCAGGTAGCGGTTGTAGTGAAATTCCTTCTCCAGCTCCAAGACCTGCTGGCGAGTGTAGGCGGTCCGAGAGCGCTTGGGCTCCCCGCCGGCGTAATTGGGGTTTACTGGACACACACGGAGAGAGGGAGAAAGAGAAAGTTTTATTGCCCCCGAAAGGAAGAGCCCTTTCTTCCAGCGAACACAGTGTTTCCCTCCCTCCCTCTCCGGACACCTCTTCTTCCTTCCGAGGGAGAGGGGGAAAAACGAAAAGGGAAGAATGCAAGACCCAAGAATGAGAGAGACCTCCAGGTTTTGGAGAGCTGTGCTGTGTCCTTGTTGTTTGGGTGTCTGGTGGGGAGGGGGGACATGTGAGAACTCCCCCAAGGTTTTAATTGCTCCTCTCTCTCCCTCAGCTTGGGGCCCCCAGAATGGGAGAATAAGGGGGTGGAAGAGGGAGGGGAGGTTTCCCTAAACCTTTCCTCTGTTTAGTTCCCACCCTTGCTGCTCAGATTCCAAGCAGTGCCTGCCCCTACTGAAAACTTTTACCTACTTCTCCAGCCAAGAAGTCAGACTGGAAGAAAGGAAAAAATAAATACTGGGAGTTGACTCAACTCTGCTTAAATACGGATTACCTCCTCCTCCTTCTCCTCCTCCATCTCCTACACCCCTCCCCAACTTCCAACTTCACTGAGACTGTATCTCCCTGGCGAAAAAGTCGCTGGTGAGAATGGTGAAGAGGATGGGGAACCTACTTCAAAGGCTCAGGGCCCACCAGGCCATAAAAATTTATGGGGGATGTAATTATGTGGCTCTGAAAACAGGCGACCGTAAATCTCTGGCAATGGCGAGTTTATAGCGGGGACAATTGGCTTCCCCAGCTCACTCCCCCACCCATGCCTCCGAGGTCCCTTTGGTGTAAAGCTCCAGGGGTGGGAGGGGGAAAGGGTGCCCACGCACTCACCCGTGCTCACGTGAACTTTGCGCATCCAGGGGTAGACGACTGGCTCTTTGCACGCGGAGTGGGACGGGCTGGGGTGCAGGGGGTTCTGGGCGCAGGGAGGCGG